TGAAGGGTTCATGAGGGAGGGGGAGTGGGGAGGGAGGGGGAAAATGAGCAGCCGATATTAAGGGCTCAAGTAGAAGGCAAATGTTTTGAGAATGACGAGGGCAACAAATGTACATGTGTGCTTGACACAATGGATGTATGTATGGATTGTGATAAGAATTGTACGAGCCCCCAATAAAATGATTGAAAAAAAAAAGAGGTCTGAGACAAAAATTCACTGTGACCAGAGAGAACCTCCCCAGTTGATGCCACGGGGTGGACTCACTCAGAGTGAGTTGCTACATGCACCTATCGGGAAAAGTGCATACTATGAAAGTTCCACTGAGCTCAGTGCTATTGTGTTTTGTTTTGGGGTTTCCCTTGTACAACAGCCCCATGATTGCTTCATGCCCTTGTATCAGCCGGTCATTTCCAACATTCAGTAGAGCCAAGCCCTACTATGGAGGCAGTATTGTACAGAGATCCATAAAGGATGTCAATAAAATGGTCATCCTAAAGTAGCTCAGTCCCTAGGTAGGAAGTCAGGATAGAGCTGCAGGGCTGACGTGAAACTTCTTACAGGGTAACAGGAACATAAAAGGGATAAAGGGGAACAGTGTTGAGAAGTGTAGCTGTGAACGCTAACTAGTGGTTCGGTGGGCACAGGGCCTCGAACAATGCCAGGCACGCAGACCGTATGTACCCAATCAGTGATCTACTGAGTACATGTATAATGCAGGAGCCAACTAGGGAATACTCCTCATGGAAGGGCAGCATGTTTTCAAGACAAGAAGGACCGTGGTCAGCAGAGAAGGGGTGTTGGGAGTTTTAAGAGCAGATGGTAAGTAAGCAAGGGCTTAGCAGAGCTCTCATGACTGGGGCATGACTGCACCCTTCACCCCTTACTCCTAAATGCAAAGATGTCTGGAATTAAGTCCTTCCTATCATGAAGGGTGATGGCTATTGGTATGTGGTGCCTAAGGTTAGAGATGCAAAGAGCAAGATGGTCCTTGTCCAGATGAAACTGTCCTCTTAAACACCAGGAGGGCCTGTGTGGAGACTGGCTGCAGCAAAGCACGAATGAAAGGCAGCTGTGAAGGAGGGGCACATCCTTGGTCCGGCAAAAGGGACCAAAGAGGAGATTCATCTGTGGATTCGGATCATTTTCACAAGTGACATAACTATGCCACACCGACTCAGGGCAATGCATGTGATCTTTTGCAGTGGGACTGGAGAGTCTTGTGTTCTGGATAGGGCTGCCATTCATTGATTATGGTCTCGAATCTGAGCCTCGGCCTATGTTTGTTTCCCAACTGTTCCTTCCTATTCTGATGGGGGTGATGAGGAAGCCACTCAGGCAATGCACCGGCTACTCCAGAGACTCCAAGGAGCTAAAGTCCTTCCTTGTTCCCTGGCTTCCTGCGGAGGAAGGCATCAATTTCTTGGTATTCCTGTTACACGACTACCTCTAGAGAGGGGAGAGCGATCTCTACTGATCCTTCCCTTGGTGGAGACCCCCGAGGGAGGAGAATGAGGCAGAAAAAAAGAGGTCCGACGCCCTAGGAAACCTAGTCCCTTGGAGACGGCTGAATACATCAGACACCAAACCAAGCCAAACCAACCAGCTATGGCTGAGTGGATTCTGACTCATGGCGACCCTGGGTGCGCAGGCTACAGCGCAGGTTTTCCACGGCTGTCTTTCCTGGGAGTGCCTCTACGAAAAGCACCCAGAAGGTGACAGGCGGCCAGGAGTCCTGCCAGGCCTTTTGTCGCCTCGAGGCTCCTCTGCGCACTCAGCGAGACGGCAGCTAGACTCAAAGAGAACTCCTGATGCCCTGCCTCTCTTTGGCGGGATGTGCAAGAAGTGACTGGAGGGGACCCCCAAAGTGGGATTTATTATTATTATTATTAGACTCTCTTAACATTGTCTCAGCATGAAGCATCGGAAATGGGCTCTTCCTGGAATTAAAAAAAACATAACTCATATAAGAGGTGACTGAAAGTTAAACAGATTCCTCTAAGACTGCTTCGGAATTTTCCCCAAGCCACGGGCGCAGCCTGAGCCTGTCAACAGGTTAAGTCTACTGACGCTGCCTCCGCATTTCCTGCTGACTTTTGTGACAGGAAAACACAACCTGCTGGTTGGTGTGCAGTTTGTAAGAAACTAATTTTTCAGAAAACAAAACAAATAAGCAGGAAGAAGCAGCCTCTCAAACCATCACAGGAGTGCCTACAAATTGATGCCTTCCCGGGAGCGCTCCCTGTCAAGGAGCGCTTGCTGGCGTCCTGTTCACGTGCGCCAAGTTCAGTCAGGAACTACTTTCCTTCCCAGGCTGCTGTGGGGCTGGCACAAGAGGGTCTTTCTCTCAGCTTCAGACCAGCACCCTCTGGTCCTCATTCTTCTTATCTGTGCACACGATCCACGTCACCACGCACTCCACACCAGGGCACTGAGCACCACTGGTGGGCTGTGCCACCATTTCGGAATGCCC